TCAGGGAAACTTGAATGCTACAAACCAATTCCCAGGCGAAAAGCAACAATCAAATTCATATGATTCCGCCAGCAAAACCAAGACGAAAACAACAATTCCAAGTCCATGGAAAATAAACTCGTGACAAACAAGAAGAAACGAAAAGGGCGCCAAGGAAAATGGGGGAAAGGATGAGCACAAAGGGAGGCCACCAGGCAGATGTTACCCTCTTAGCAAATGCAAGGACACCGATGTCCTCGGGCCTTACCAAACTGTGTATGTGTCTCGGCACCGAAAGAAACTACAGGATCATAGTTCGGAATCAAGTTATTGACTTGAGGGAGGCGTCAACTGTTGAAAGTAGCGATCGATATTAAAATTAATCACATAAATTTTGATATTTTTGATAATCACTTTTGCTATACATATAACGCAAATACTGACATAATTATATTTTTTCGATGAATAATACACGGCGTCATTATATCGATTTTATCGATTTTTGTCGTTGCGAAAGCTTTATGGCAATCTACTACTAACTGAACAATTAAATATAACCTAGAATCTAAAACTCATGGCAATTGAACCTTTAAAGAAGTTCTCTTCAATTTGTTTGGATAAATTAAATAAAAATAATATAATTGGTGCGATATTATACAAAATTTTCATTTTTGCGAACAAATTGTATATAATCTAGAATCTGAAAATCATTTCCAATTCTTTGCGATAAATAAAATTAAAATAATACACTTAATCCAATAATATATCGATTTTTCGTAGTTTAAAATCGTTTATGTACATAGGGAAACTTTATATTAATTGCATAACCACAAAGATGAATTGCAATGGTTTTTTTCTCACTGTAAACCAGTAAGATGGATGGGGCGAGAGTATGTGGGGATAAAAGGCCAAATTGTAGGCAAAGACGTGAGTTGTCTAAGCGTCTGTCTAGCACAATCAAAACAAGGAGCCGTCAACCGGGCCAACGCAATTCTAATTAACTTCCAGATACACAAGGACACTCGCACACCCAAGTGGGGATGGATGGTGGGAGGTCTGCGTTTTTAATCCACAAATTAAATCGAAACCTCGAAAATCGGGAAAACAAAAAGCCCAACTAGTAGCGACGCTAAGTATGCGAAGGGTATTCCTTCCTTTTTGCCAACGTCCTAAGTATTTTGGTTAACTAGTGCGCAGTAAAAGGCATTAAGAGGCAAGCTTTCTTCAAGTGTCCTTCTTTTTGTTTTTCTCGCGCAAATGGCTGTGTGTACACCTTCGTATCTTTATATCTCTCGCTCATGTACTCAACATTAATTGTAATCGCAATAGCATTTGTAATTGCAAATGACATAAGTAAGAGCTACAGAGCGATGATAATGATAATGATAACAACGATAACAACGGAAACAACGAAAGCAACAACACAGCAATGGCAGTGCCAACAACTTAATGACAACGAAATTGAATTTGAGTCGCACTGGTCCCAAAGCTTCTCACCTGCTAGTTGCGATGTCCTTAGATCACATGTCCTGGTCGATTCTGGACCCTCATGATGAATATATTTGGCTTCAGGTCGGGAATCAGATTCAAAGTCATCTAATTTACAACATCGGCAAGGTTTCAATACGCGATCGCGATTTACAAACTCGAATTCGATTTTTAATATGTTTTGATTTGGATTTTAGTTTCTGGACTGAGAGTTCTTAACTCGATTCTATATCGATCTGGGATCTCTTATGAGATGTCCTTAGGCTGGTATATTAATAAAGTCAAGTGGGGTTTATAGTATTATTAAGTTCTTCTCAATGCAGTATCGACTCACTGCGATATTTTCGGTTTTAATATTTTCGTAGATCTTTCCGATCTCGCTTGGTTTATTGTTTATGATACAAGATCGCTTTGAACTGCGTATCCGTTACTGCGACTCCTGGGAATTTTGCCTATTTTTCTTTCTTAACCGAATCAGCTCGATCAAATATCGGGTTATAAGCTTGATCTGAAACAGATCGCTATAGTAGCGATCAAGTATGGGATGCATTTTAAGCACTTCTTAGATTTTTCATAGATATCAATAGTATCTTAAGGTAAATGTAAGTTAATAATTACATTTAAATAGTTGTTTCTGTATGTTTAGTATGTTTTTTGTTTACATAGTAATGAGCGTATTTTCAATAGCTTTTCTCAAATGGTTATAGATTCTTTGGTTATATTTGTGTATTTAAGAACAGATCAATAGAAGTATACTTTTGATAAATTTAAATTGTCTAAAATTTTGATTTATAGACAGTGATCGTGATGGGCTTAATAGTTTCAATCAAGTTGAGTTTATTCTACAATGTTTAAATATGTTTTTTTGTGATCTTCTTGGATCGATTTTTAGTTTAGTTTTTATGTTGAAGTTTTTTTCTTAAATATTTGATTAATATGTGTATATAATGATCGGACTTGATATCTAATAGTCTCGATCATAAAGATCATCTTAATATAGAATATATTGTTTTGAGATTAAGTATTCACACCAATAAGTTGATTATTTAAAAAGCTTATCTATAATAACTGAATACTTGCTAGTTGATTTGAAGTTCAATTCATATGATGTTAAGTTTAAATTTCGATTCTCAATTTGATTTCCATTGACTTTGATTTGAGAATTCTCCGATCCCTCGACTTCCGTTTCTGATGGTTACAATTTTGACATCGATTTCCAATATTTTCTTTGAATTTTGATGGTTTTCACTTTATATTTGCGTAGGTAAATATGTTTTAACTGATATGTGATCTACAACAACAGGAAAAAACAAGACAAAAATGGGGATTTTAAACACACACTTAAAAAACACTCGGCTTTGGCGCTGAAAACGCTTCCTTGGCACTTAAAGCACGGCAAAAAATATTAAAAAACTCTTGAAAAACCACAGCAGTCACACTTTACGCGGTTTTTTGTCGTTGGGCGCCATTTTTTATTTTGAATTTTAATTTTGGGGCAACTGCCGAAGGAGGCCTGATTATTTGGCGCCCAACCGAATGGGTGGTGGAGCTGCTGTGGCCCTTAATGCTCCTGTGGGAGTGCCAACGAACCGTTTCCAAACACTTTCGTCCGATGACTGGGTGCCGCCGCCGTTGAGCGCCGGAATTTAAACCTTTTGCCCTCGGCTCGACGAGCCGCAAATCGGAAAAGCCGAGTCCAGGCTGCTCGGAAAAGCTTTGCCAGCTCTCACTCAAAAGCGTCTTTTCAGCGGCTTACTGACCTGGTTCGCGGCCAAGAAAAGCGGTAGCTTCCGTGAATCCGGCTGTGGGGGTGGAAAAGCGGTGGAAAAGCCACTTGTTGACGGCAGGCGAGAGCTTTCCACCTGCAACCGAACTATTAAAAATATTTAAAATTATAAATTTAGCTGAATACATTACAAATACATTACTTTTTTAAAGACCCATTTTTGTTAATTTAAAAGATGATTAAAGATAGATGTAAGGAATGAGCTTTTACACACTAAATATTAATTTAAAAGTAAATAATATTTTAAATTACTTAAAATAATTGAAGTTATTCTTATTTGTTTTTCTTAATTAAATAAAATAAAACTAAAAAGTTCAAAATATTAATCTTTAAAAACAATGCCTAAAGTCATCATATGACATACTAATTTTAGTAATCCTAATGATACATCCATGACGCGATTTCGTGACAGATCTGGAAAAATGTCTCGTGTTGCGGTTCGCTTGCCACAAGTCTTAAAAACCTTAAAACCCGAAACATTTTCCAATTAAACGAGACAAACTTCTGTTTGCGATGCGAATTAAGTTCTTCATTAACATAGAGTGTGTCTACTTATGTATGCAAATATGTACCTTTGTAGACGCTTCAATCCCGACTGCCCCTCATCGTCCCCCACATCATCCTGGGGGGCAAAACTCTTTTTACTTTCGCGACTTGAATGAATGCTTTTTGTGAATGGAAAGTATGCACTGTCACCTGCGTTTTAGCACTGAAGAAAATAAAGAGTACAAATAAAATGAATCGAAATTAAAAACAATCATGAATTACAAAGTTTATTGAAAAATTTCCCATTGTGAAATTTAAAAGGACTTTAACTTTATATATCGACAGTAACAAAACCACTAAGAAGTATTGTATTACCACTTGCAATTATTTATTTTAAACTTTAATTATTAATATATTTATACTTTGGTTAAGCATAGGCAACACATATAAAACTAATATCTTTGGACTTCATGATTTATTGAATATTTTATGCAAAAGTTACCTAAAGCGTAAGAATAACCTAGATGATTTCAGTCCGTGATCCATCCAGGCGATGTTTTTCCTCGGTGCAGCTTAGACTTAGTTGCAGGTTGTTTGCCGCGTGTCAATTAGCGCAATCCCTGCCCCGTGCGACTCCGACATTCCCACATCCGTGTGCCCGCATTAAAGGATGCCCAGTTCAGTGGCCGCCAGCCAGTCCAAAGTTGGTTTTTTGCGAAAAGCGTGATAAATTTTCCGGCCGATGGCTTCCGGACGGAAGCGTACTGCTTACAGTGTGTCAAATAAGTATATATCCATTGCTTTATTCACTTGCTTTATACATATGTCGATTTGGTTAGGCGCTGCTCGTGTTTTTCAGTGAGTGTACGTGTGGTTGGGTGAGTTGTTAAGTAATTTGTGCGAAATTTAATTAAAGCTAAGTTAACCCTAGGCTGTATACATAGGCGTAAAATATGACGGCATATGCATATATACATATATTTCTTTTGTTTTTATATTTATAGTTTAGTGTGTGCCTACAGTGCGTTTCAGAACCATAAGAATGTTGCATAGTTAAGTTAAGGCCATAATTTCTAAAAAAAATGTTCTCAAGCTTTTAAGGGATATAAACAAATATGTACTTAAGGCAGTTATTTGCATGATCCCATTAACAAAATTTGTTCTTAAACTAGAATATAAAGAATATTTTCAGCTTATCTTTAAAATTAAATCGAATTAAGGTACTTAAGTTCAATAAAAAAAATGTTGGGATCTATTAACAAAGAAATGGCGGAAATAATTAAGTTAAGTTTAAGTTCCCTTTTCGAGACTTGGCTACAATTTGCTTCTTATAGCTATGACACGCACTATATAAACTAGGGTGGTTCGATTTGTAAGGATACAATAATTAAATATGCCTGGAGTGAAACGTAATTTGATTCCGAACCAACATTAACAAATTAAATTATTGTCTTGTCTGGGTTTTAACAAAAATGCGTGAAACAAATATTAGACCTACGGTCCTAAGATTAAATATCTTTTAGAAAGAATTGAGATATGGCAAAGGGGCTTGAAGATGTAAACTTTTAAAGCTAGCTTATAAAACCGATCCACCCTGTCGTTAAACACTTGTGTTCGCTCTTATTGCTTTTTAGGCCGAAGGCTAGCTATCTATCGAATACTTTGGGTCACTGGTCACCTGGTACCTGGGCGGCAATTTGATTGCGGATCGCTCAGAATCAGAATCAGAACATGCCGTCCGATCGGGCGACGGGTATGAGCACGATGAGGAAGATGACAAAGTTGCGCATGACCAGGCGCCAGTCGCTGGGCACCGCGTACGGCAGCAGGATTTGGGTGAGGCGATGCACCTCGTGCGAGGCGCACACGAAGATGAACGACGTGATGATCATGTTGAGCGTGGGGAAGCCGGGCAGCAGCACCAGGACGCCATGACGATCGGCGGCCAGCCAAATGTGATACTGGCAGACGAACAGCTCCAGCGAGATGCGACCGAACCAGGCGAAGAACGCCGAGTAGCGGGTGCGCAGGATGCCCGAGATGTTCCTGAGCACCACATAGCCCACGATCGGGATGAACAGGATGTACGAGTGGATCTCCTCGCAGTTCTGAACGTTGCGGCACAGGAACGAGAACGAGGTGTACACGCCGACGCCCAGCAGGGCCAGCAGGGTGACCGATATGGAGGTCCGCCGCGAGAACAGATTCCCATGGTTGTTGTCGTCGAACACATTGTACTTCTGGGCAATGTGAAAGCAGGCGGCGTAGATCATGCCGAAGGCCACCGTATACCGGTCCAGCTTCCACTGGTGCCACCACTCGTGCAGGTCGTCGTCCGTGGTCACGAACAGCGCCTTCCACGGCCGCGTCACGAAGATCCGCTCGAAGAAGACCTCCGACATGAAGAGCACCGTGATGCCGCCCAGGCAGCCGATGCACTTGCACACCAAGTACAGATAGTGCAGCGGATTGGCGTCCACCGAGGCGGACGAGATGCGCGGCGGCAGGGCGAGCACAAAGTAGACGACGCACAGCCAGAAGGAGAGCAGCGGCACAAAGTAGTAGAACTGGTACGGCCGGTTCATGCAGAAGCACAGCAGCACGCTGAGAAAGTTGGCACGGAACATGGCCTGAAAGAAGCGCACGAACAGCGAGCCGCTGCCGCCGGTCTGCCACAGGTGCGTGAAGTGTGTGTAGCCGGTGAGGAAGAAGTAGCCCGAGATCAGCAGCTTGATGTGCATGTGAATGGGCAGCACTCGCTGCGCCCCGGTCATATAGTATATCAGCACCACCAGCAGTATCCAGCCGCGCAGCTCGTCCGTTTGATCGCGATTCAGCACCTTGGTAAACCGCGAATCCTCGGTGAAAAACAGTCCCAGGGCAAAGACATAGCCCACGGGTATCCAGAAGCTGAACTCCGAGTAGTATTTGTTCTCCTTCATGAAGAAGTTGGTGCGATCGCAGAGGTAGAAATAGGCCAGAATCAGACCCAGCAGTGATAGCGCCACCATGGGCGTGCCATAGTCGGTTATCAGTGCGGATAAGGCATTACTAGGTGCTCCTCCGCCTTCATGCGAATGCTGCTGCTGCAATGGCACATATAAAGTTTGACCCCTTAGGTGGAGCAGCCACCGGCGCAGGCACATGCCGCACACGAGGGTCATGCAGACGCCGAACAGGGCGTACGCCACTATCTGGAGCGTCGTGTGCGGCTCGGAGCTGCTGCAGCAGGTGCCATCGTTGTAGTTCATATAGTCGTTGCAGTACATGTTCCACAGCAGCTGCACCTCCAGTCGCTGGCCATGGGCGCACAGCTGGTGGCCATCGATGGCGTTGTCCAGCAGCCCGTTGGCAATGTGCCAGGCGGACTCCCAAACGCTGGCCTCGGTGTAGCGAAAAACGCCCCTGGCCACGTGATTCAGTCGGTCAATGTGCTCGTTCTGCAGCAGCTTCCAACTCTGCGGCAGCTTCTCCTCGTCCACGCGATCCGCCAGCTTCCAGAGGACCCGCGATGTCTGCGCCACCAGGCGATGGAAGGGCGCCACCAGCAGGGTGAGATTGGCGGCATATTGCCGCAACACATCGTCCGTCGTGTTGCCGGCTAGCAGGCCGGCATAGGTGAAGCCCACCACGTAGACGGAGGACAGCTGCTTCTCGGCCTCCAGGCGGTACAGCTGCTCGACCAGCGTCGGACTCACCTCCTCCGCCCGAATGTACTGGGCCAGCATGTGCAGCTTCTTGTCCTCGAAGCGGGCCGAGCCATCCGTGGCCGAGGCGTTGTTGTCCTCCTCCTCGGCCACCTCATCCGCGGCCAGCGGCAGACGCAGTTGCTCCACGAAGCGCTCGTAGAGCAGCCGCACGCTCTCGTCGCCGATGAACACGAAGTTGTTCTTGTTGTCGAAGAAGGCGAGGTAACGCAAACAGCGCCTGGTGTCGCTGTAAATAATGAGAATTTCGGCTGGCGTGAGTCATTGGGGAATGGGGAATGTGTGTTGATTACTCACGTGAGGGAGTACTTGTGCACCATGCAGCCGTACGGCTGCCACTCGTTGTCGCCCTTGAAGCGGCCCTTGGACAGCAGCCACTGACAGGAGTCGCTGCCTGCGGGAAAACAGGACAAATCAATATCAATAAGGAAGTGACAAAGGCTGAGCAGCCCAAGTGGGCTGGGCTAAATAATAAAATATTATTATAACCAAATTATATTATCTGTACAAATAACCACGACAAATATATGATCTAGGAATTATTCCTTTGAGTTTTAAAGATTTTAAACATTTAAATTCTTTTGATTTCCTTTTCATTATCTATTCAAAAGATCGGGTTTTGTTAATATAATGGAGTATAGAGAAAAAAGCTAAATATACCTAATCTTAATTATTTATAAAAAAAACGGTGAAGCTGACTCATAAAGTCGTATGATAACAATAAAATATATAGTTCATAGAGAAGATGTCAAAACTAAAGCCCTATTTTAAGACTTTAAAAGTGAAGGAAATATATGGTCTGATCTGTAAAATATCGTATTTCTTTTTTAGATTAATTTTGAGATACATATATGTTTTTTGATTGGAAACTTTATAGTATAGTACAATATTTAATAATAATAATAAAAATATTTAAATAATTGGATAAGCAAGTACTTTTCTGATATTATATAGTTTATATGATAGGATAGTACTTTCCTGATAATCTATAGTTTATAGGATGGGATACATGTTTGTAGGATTCAGATAGGGATAAATAGTAACCACCCACCGTAGTTCCAGTTGAGCAGGCCGTGGTAGACGATGAATCCGAGGACCAGGAGCAGAGCCACCTTCTTGGCATTGGTGGCGTTCAGTTGCTCCATGAATATGTCCGCCTTGGTGGGCATTCGCTGCCCTCCGGCGGCGCCGCCAATGCAAATGCCACCGAGTTCGGGACTCGGAGCTCCGTTTCCCGATGCTCCCGACGTTCCCGGCGCAGCTGCTCCTCCTCCGCCTGCGACGTTCCCTCCATTTCCACCGCGCAATTCGCGTAGCTCCATTGTTTATTAGCCCGTCTGCCGACGCTCCTCCTCCAACCACTGCTCGTCGGAGATAATGGTCGCCAACAATATTATTGATAGTCTGGCTATACGGGCATGGCTTTAACCCAGTTTTTTGGACACCGACTCCTCCTTTTCCCTGCTGTTTCGCTTTTGCTTTGCTTATTAGCGGTGGAGAATTTGGGAAACATCGGTGTTTGGTTGGTGTCTTGGCTAACTTGTTAGAGGTGGAGAAACATCGATGAAAACATCGCATTGATGTTTTACAATTTTCTATGTTTTTCGATGTTTTTGTCCCATCACCAAGAAACGTAAGTGTCTGTTATGAGTAAGTGTAAGTTATACGTAACACCGGTTTTTGTCTTCGCTGTTTTTCTGCTAAGTTAACATCGAGCGAATGTCCAAAGACGTTACTTTTAAAGTTATTTACATTTTTTAAAACAATCCTTTTTTGTTTTACCAATAATATTAACGTTTAATGTGTGTTGATTCAGCGTACAAATCGAGTAGAGAAATCACATCGAAATTTTGAAATGGATTAAACAATAAAGTGGCACATACAATGATACATAATTTTTACTACGCATAAACCATGTTTGAAAAGTGCTTAGAAGCCCTTTAAGCTCCATATTCCTCATTAAGAAAATGTCCGAAAATCATGATAATTGAACAATTTAGAAATTTAAAAAAAAGCTTAGTGGACGTTTAAGCACAACATTAAAACATTCCAAAAAAAATGAGAAAGAAAAAATTTCGAATTTTGCCTTAGAGTGTTTGTGTGATACTTGGTGTACCTAGAAAAGGTTCCACCAAGAACGGCTGGGCTTCTTGGATAAAACGGCCCAAGCCTCTCGAATCCTCACCAGTGGTTCGCCAACCTCATAGGACCAAGTCAGGAGAAAGCACACGAATAGACCAAGGAATATAAGCCCATAAGTTGGGCACTTGGGAATTCGGGCCAAGTTTTGTTTTATGGCCGGCACAATTCTCGAATTCATGATCAAGACGGATATAAAGATGATCAGGTTGGTCAGGCCCTTAACTACTTTACTTATCATGTTTAGGACTATCTTAAATGTTCCTCCTACCGGGTTTTCCGCCTGATAATTTCCTTGGATTCCCACTACAGGACGTTCATGATAGATCTCCAAAGCTGGTTTCTTCACTGACTTGTTCTTGGCTCGATCCGTGAGATTGGCGCCACGACCTTCTACGGCTGCGGTGCGCTGACGATTGCGTTGACCCACCCCATCTCCTCCTTCTTCCCCTTCCTCGCTTTCTTCCCTTTCTTTGCCCCTGTCTGACCTCCGGTGACGGCGTTTCCGGCGGCTTCCCGCCTCATCCACAGACCGAGATCTACGGGCTTCGTTCATGCAATCATTGAAGGCTTCCACCACAGCGGAACGGACTTGGCGATCAAACTGATTCTTGGATATGTACTTCCTGGGTATCGACTGCGAACGATTCGCGGGAACGCGCAGTCCGGCGCGGATTTGCATTTCCGCCTCCGAGTCCGAAGAATCGACTTTCGGGTTCCTCCTTCTTTTGGCATACGAAGAACTCCTTTTTTTCGGCTCCATTTCAAACTGATCGGAGAGTAGGAAACAGAGTAAATGCTACGCGAATACACTCACTTCGAACACGGCTATACCTTGGCTGCGAGTATAATTCAGAACTTCTTTGCATAAAAATTAGAAAATATAAAACTCTGCCTTTTTTCCCCCAAAAATATTGGTTGTTCACTGGGTCAGAAATTCAATACTAATGCCACAATCCTATCGAGACGACAGACTTTTCGTTTCACCGCCTACTTTGTAATTTGAATCTCGGAAAACTTGAATGATAGTACCAGGTGATCCTAGGGAAGTTTTCCAGAAACAGCAGTGGCAGAAGTTCTTGGATACCGGAGAGGTGCTTTAAAATTATTATTATCCCAAACATCATACAACTGCTTAAAAAAAAAACTGAAAAAGGTTAGAATATTTTTTTTCAAATTGATAAGTTTAAGTTTTGTTTCGTACCCAAATTAAATGTGGTGCAGTCGTTGGCCACCAACAACTAAATATGTATCTCAACCGACTTTATTAATGGAATTCTACGGCATTCTTTTATCAGTGCAGTTGCGACAATCTTTAAGGAAATTTGGAAATATTTGGAATTTGAATTTCCGCTTCAATAGTAATTTGAAATAAGTGCTGCCCATAAATCAAAAGATAGGTTTGCGTACGCACTAAGCGGCAAACGGTCACACGCGAACTTAGCAGCGTCACACTCCAAACATTTTGGAGAGACCGTTTATAAGACACAGTCGGTATATTTCGATATATACCGAAAATATAACAGAAATTGACCGAAGGGTCTCACCAACATGTAAGGAGGGTGACGCGGCTAAGTTAGCAAAGACACCATCCTAGCAAGTACACCACGCCTTAGCAAGTACACAAACCGGCAGAGCGTTGCCATCCTAGTAGAGTTCGCTTAGCGAGTACAATCACCGCCTTAAGCCTGCCTATCGATAGTATCGTAAGCAAACATCGATTCCAGTTCCACCTCTAATGTGCGTTGGGTTATTTATTTTTTTTCCTGTGATTTGTTTATTGAGTGAGCCCCACCATTTGATGATGCATTGATTTTGGGCGCGATGTTATTGATCTCGGATGGAAAACATAATTGGTTTCCAATAGGAAAAGTTTGCATCATGTTTTCGCACGCGAAGCGCTCGTAATGTAATTGTGTGTGTGTGTGCGTGTGGGGTGTAAGGTGTGTGTGTGTATGTGTGTGCGTGCGAGGGGGAGGGAGAGGGTCGTAAAAGTGTTTTTCCTCGTTTTCTTGTAACGTATCTTACGCACATAGATAACATCGGCATTGCAAAAGCCCAAAAATCATAAATGAAAATTCGGAGAAATCCACCTGGTTCACCGTTTGTGTGTGTGTTTTTTTCTGTGCAAATGAGAGGGAGAGAGAGGCTTTTCTTTTGTTGATACACCGCGCGAGTGCAGGCGTGTGTGTGTATGTGTGTCTGCGCCTCTCAATTTTGTGACGAAATGTGTATAAAATGTTTATGTTTATGTTCTCCCCGACCCCCCTTCCACCCACTCACTCACTCACACACGCCCATTCACACTTTTAGGCGCCGCACAAATTTCGAGTGAAAACCGATCGGCGTAAAAAAAAACAACAAATACCACCACAAAGTGGCGAAGCAACAACAAATAAAGAAACATAAATAATAGTGGGCAAAAAGTAAAAAAACATCAAGCAAACAAACAAAACAGCAAAATAAAAAACAACGAGGAGCGTAAATAAAAGGTCGGCAGATGGGCGGCCAACGGACTTACGTGCCCTCCGCTGGCCATTCTCCCCATGTTGCAAGTTGCAGTTGTTGTTGTTGCACATGCAGTTGCAGTTCCCATTCCCGTTGTTGTTGCAGTTGCAGCATACCAGCGGCCAAAGCGCAGTGAGAGCGAGCGGGACGGCAAGCGAGCGCCACTAAAGGTGCGAGCGAGAGGTGAGTGACTTTGGCTTTCTAACGGTTCCATTTCCCCTCCCAAAAAAAAGCGATCAGGGAAGAGAGATTGGGAAGGGAAAGAGAAGAAGAGGATGAGGCGGAGGGGGAGAGAAAGGAAAGGAAGAGTGGACGCACTGGGAGGAAATACAGTGATCGCTGGCTAAGGAAAATTCAATGTTCTTTTACATTTTATTTAAATTTAAATACTACATTAACACTAGAGAAATATTGGAATGAATCACTATAATTCAGTTTGTAATAAGGGGGTGCAAATACTAAACGAAATACAAACGAAAGGTTGTCTGTCTTTAACCATGAATATTTATGGCAATTCAAAGTTTGAATTGGAAATGACTCGTCTATATTTCATATTTTACCTCAAATGCAATTTAAAGCCTATGCTTAAAGGTTAAGAAAATAAATAAATTAAATAAAACATATTCCTAAATACATAATATTGTATTACATTGTTGTTCCGATTTTTCCCATAATTGTCGTTTTTTTATAATGACTACATAAATATGAATTTTTGATAATAGATAAAAAAACATAAAGACAGCTTTTAGCTTTCAAGTTTAAACCAGACAACAAAAATATAATTCATCTTACCGCCTTTTGTCAATTGTTTTAATAGATTATCTTTTTTTACTACCTATTTTATTTACTTTTTAAACTAGTTTAATTTAATTTTTTTATGGTATGTAATGTTGGCAAAACTTAGGGCTGCTTTTTTGTCCATTTGTTAAATTTAAAGTAGGATTAAAACCTTCAAATCGTCTAAGAAATCGGCGTTTAAAGCTTCCTTTAAATTTATAGTATAGCTGCTAGTTTAATTACTCATTGATGAGTACTTTTTGTATTTATATTTGGGATCGGTGTATGGCATTGTCTACCAATAGGTAGAACGATTCTTTCCAGGCGGGGTGCAGCCTCAGACATTTTCCCTCCTTTCGTGTAGCTGGCGTTTCCATTTTCATTGTTTGTCACGTGCGGCCACTTGAACTGAATTAGGGGAAAAGATGCATGTATAGAAAAAAGAAAGGCGGGTGGGGGTTGAAACGAAAGTGATGTGCTGAAAGTGAAGGTGGGTTCCATCTTTCATCTGCTGATATAAAAAAAATAAATATAGTAAAGGAATGAGTAAAAAAAATGATAAAAAAAAATATATATTTATGCAATGTCTGATTAAGGTCTTAATAGGATAGTAAATTAAGGAACAAAAAATTATAAAAAAAAAGAATATAAATAAATTTATATTCTGTCTGATTAGGATTTTAATAGGATAGTAAAGGAATAAATACGAAGAACATACAAAAAAATTAAAAAAAATAAATATAAATATATTTACGCAATGTCTGATTAAGGTTTTAATAGGATAAAAAAAAATGACTAAAAAAAAATAAATAAAAAAAATATAAATATATTTACGCAATGTCTGATTAGGGAAAGTAAAAGTATAAAAAAATAAATTAAAATATATAACTTTCACTAACCTCGCAATTTTTTCGCTTTATTTTCTTCCATCTCCAGCCCTCTGAAATGGTCTCGAAGAAGCGCTCCAATGCCGCTGACCGAGTGCAGCGCTCGACGGCGACTGCGGCAGCGGCGGCGGCAGCAGCGGCCGCAGCAGCAGCTGCGGCGGCCTCCGCAAGCCAGGGCAAGAAGCGGCCCGGGAAGCAGACGAAAGCCTCCAGCGGCGGCGATGAGGCGGAGGACAGCAAGAAGTCGTCGGCCAGCAAGACGGCAGATTCCAGTGCAGCCAAGAAGCCGGGCAAGGATTCCACGGCATCGGGATCGGGATCAGTAGGACTCACTGCCACCGAGAGTGGTGGAAAACCCACAGTTACATCCTCCACTTCATCATCGGCCGCCTCCTCCTCGTCCAACAGCCTGAAACTGTCGCCGGAGGAGCGACACGAGGACGGGAAGGCGCGGGCCATTAACAAGATGCTCAAGAGCCTGGACATCAAGATCCATGGCTTCGACAACCTGCTGCCCAGCGGCGAGGAGCGACTCAACGACGGGGTGCTCAAGTCCTCCATTTCGGAGAATGTGAAGACCAAGTCGCGGGCAGCGGCGGTCAAGGTGATATCCAGCCTTAATCCCGGCAAGATGCCGCCGGTAAAGCGAGTGCGTCCCTCACCGGAGCCAGTGAAGGATAAAGTGGATAAGGAGAAGGTGGCGGAGAAGGTGGATAAAGAGATGAAACCCAAGTCGGAGCAGGAGCTTACTCCTCCATCCCCTCCAGAGGAATCTCTGGCCTCCAAGGCGCCGACCAAGAAGACGATGCAGCAGGCTAAAAAGGCCAAGGTGGAGCCATCATCCTCCTCCTCCTCATCATCAGCACAAACGACAGCTGCAACGATAGTCTCAGTTCCCAGCGGCGCCACTTCATCCACTTCCAAGCAGTCGGCGGTTAAGAATCCCGGCAAGAAACCCGCCCAGCAGGAGCAGCCCAAAAAAGAGCTAAGCAAGCCCACCAAAGTGGTCAAGCCGAAAAAGGAAGTTATCACGCCGAAGAACACTTCCCGTTTGCCGGACTCCAATACCGAATCGGTGCAAATGGAGCTGGAGGAGATTGTGGCTACGCCGACGGTGACACCCTCGGCTACCCCAACGCCCACGGCCACGCACACGGTTACGCCAACGCCCACACCCACTCCCACACCGACATCTACGTCTGCAGAAGCAGCAGGGCAACCAGTTCCCCCACCACCACCGCCAGCCAAGCAGCGACCCAAGGTGAAGTACACCAAGACGGGATCGGCGGGATCCAAGGGTCGCATGCCACAGGCTCTCCACCAGAAGGCAACGCCTGCTTCGTGGAGCGGAGCCAAGGATATCTACGACTTCAAGTCGGGATCGGAGGACGAGGAGCCGATCAAGATGGTGCTGCCGTCGCTCAAGGAGCTGCGCGAGTTCTCCGACGAGGATAACAAGCCGCTAAAGCTGTTCGAGCGACCGGAGAAGGTTAAGATTCAGGTGGTGGATGAGGAGGAGCAGCCGCTGGTGAAGAAGGAGGAGAGACCCTCGGTGGAGAAGGAGGTGAAGGTGAAACCCAAGGAAAAGGAAGTAGATCCCTTGAGCAATGCACAGCAGTCCGAACCAGCAGCTAGTAAAATCACCTCCACCAGCAGCTCCGTCAAGAAGCAAACTAAAAGGAAGCTAAACACTCCAACGCCCACTCCTTCGGGCCGCAAAAAGAAGCCAGCAGCCAAGGGAAAGGCCACCGCCAAGGAGCCGCCGGCGAGCAACAGTTCCGCCGACAGCAGCTCCTCCGAGGATGAACGCAAATTGAGCGCCTACAGCGGACCCAAGCGTCACAGGATGGCCTCGCTAAATGCACTGGCCAAGGTGCAGTGCCTCTACGAGAACGAATCCCGCACGGCCCACGAACTGGGCCTCTCCAAGGCGACGCAGCAGCCGCCGCGGATTCGCACGCTGGACGGCAGCGACGAGGACAACCACAAGGATTCGCCGCGCCAGGAGACGGACAGGGACAAGGGCTCCGTTAGTCCAGCGCCACCGCCAACGGCGGCCACTTCGAGTGCGCCGCCCAAGGAGGCGGAGCCGCGCAGGGAACTACGCTATGTGCCCGGCGGAAGGGGCGTGGGCAAGCACTGGGAGTTCGACAGCGACAGCGAGACCGAGGAGCTGCAGCTGCTCCAGCAGCCGCTGCCGCCGGTCAAGAAGAAGAAGTTGCCCAAGAAGGCGCCGCCCAAGAAGACGGCATCCAATGATTCGGAGGCGAAGCGCAAGAAGAAGTCGGTCCAAGTGGAAAGCGACGAGGAGGAAAAGGAAAAGGAGAAAGAGAAGCCGAAGCCACCGAAGCAGCTGCCCAAGAAGCGCAAGACCGCCTTCACCGAGGAGCTGATCGGCGACTACAAGGGCATCCTGGCCAGAAAGCGCATGGCCAGCCTGAATGCCAGCGCCATTGTGGCGGCCACCTACGAGGTGGAGCGGCATCTGGACAAGAATCTGGCCAGCGATTGCAGCAGCTTCGAGAGCTACGACGAGCTGGACACCCTGCCCGCCACCACCAGCAAGGCGGCAATCAAGGCGGAGATGGTTCACATCAAGAAGGAGCCCAAGGAGACCAAGGAGAGGGAGAACGAGCGCAAGAGGGAGCGGGAGAACGAGCTGAAGGACTCGAAGGACTCAGCGGTGGGCAAGATGTCCAGCCACTCGATCATCGAGGAGAGCAACGACTCCAAGTACTCGAAGGAGACCAAGGAGACGAATACGGACACCACCATCACCACCACCGGCTACCGCGACTCGGCGGCCAGCACCAAGGACGCCAAGGACTGCAGCCGGCCCACCTCCTCGTCGGTGGTCATCGTTCAGGACACCGACGTCACCATCACCGGCGTCTACGTGAACGCCAGCAACGGAGCCGCCCAGGAGGCCTACTGCAAGATGCAGTACCGCGTCCAGTCGAGCGTCACCGAGGAGCGCGTCCTGCGGCCCGGCTCCGTTGAGCCACCCAAGTCCTACACGCCGCTCAGCGCCCTCTCCAGCATGCTGCCCCCGGGCGCCAGTTCCGGACTCAGCGAGGGTGAGCACTCCAAACTTATTTATTTATTTATTTATTTAAAAATTGGAAAATATCTGCCAATATAAAACATAATTTCCACCTCCGCCCGAAGAAGAATCTAGTCCAAAACACCCGAATTCAATTGGTTCTTGAACTCTGCTCTATGTGTACATATAAAGGAAAAATTTTAGAAGTCCAGAAAACTTTATAGATTTCTGAGACATCAGTAATAATAACTTAAATACTTTACCTCTAAAGTTGTTTACAAAACCACACTGTTTTTTTTTGGTAGCTTTTTTTTTAATTTATTACATAGAATTTATTACTTTGATCAGCCAATTTATTGGCTATATTTTTTGGCATCTCTTGTTATTAAAGGTTTAACCAAAAAAGTAAAAGATAGTAAGCGCAAATATTAGGTTCCTTTTATTAAATTTAAAAAGTAGGTAGTTTTAAAAATGAATATATCTTTGGTGTTTCTTTTCACTCATTGTTGCTAATGAATTCTTCTTGAAAGAAATTTACCAATGTCTTCGTAAATTATTTATATGGTGTCACTTGGGGTAAAAAGTTCTTTGGTCAAATCTACTAAAACATAATTTTAAGATTATTGAGATGAGATTATTTGTAAAATTTTTAGATTTTTTAGCTTTACTAGGTTGTTGGGATTATTGATATTTGAAAGATTTTTATTATGTTTGCAAATAAATAAAGGTATACAATTTATTGTAATCTTTTAAGAGCCATACAAATATCCATATTAAAAAAAAAATATATATAAATATCTATTTCCTGAAAAAAAAATATTTCTTTGAAAGAAAGTGATATTTTCTATATATTAATTGAACGTAAGCTAATACTTTGGTCTAATACTTTGGGTTTTATGTGCTCCCTCAGCGCACAGCTCGCCGCCGCTTCCTGTCCACGCAGCGCCGACGGGACCGCATGTCCTGCTGCCCGGCGAACATCTCAGTGCCGGGATGTACCACGCCCCCGATCTCGGCCTGCACACGGAGCACGCCCTGCCCGAGCACCACGGTCCGCCGCCGCCCTCGTACGCAGCTGCTGCCGCAGCGGCCGCGGCCGCCGCCGCCTACCACGCCCACCAGCTGGCCCCGGGAGGCGGTGGGGTGCTGCACATGCACCACCAGCACCAGTACGCCGCCCATGCGGCCCACGCCCATCACTACCAGCAGGCGGCCGAGTATCATGGCGGCCCTCCACCGCCGCCGCATCACTACGGCGGTCCGCCGCCACCGCCCCAGGGTCACTATGGTCCGCCGCCGGGAGCACCTGTTCCGGTCCCGGTTCCCGTGCCCGTTCCCAATCCGGTGACCGTGCCGCCCGAGCGCTGCGACGTGGGATCGCCGCCGCCATCGTATCGCGCCAGCGCCTATCCGCCGCCCTCGAGCGTGGGCATGCCGCCGCCCACTTTGGGGGGCGGATCGAGCGCCTTCTGCGCCCCGAGTCCGCTGCACCATCACCAGCACCAACACCAGCAGCCGGGACCCGGCGTTGGGCCACCGCACCATGATCCCAGTGGTAAGTGCTCGATAATAAGTATAATGTTAAGAGGTATCCATTAATCGGTATGATATTATGCTAGTTTAATAATATATATGGGATGATATGTGGGATATTATAAAGGATGATATATGGGATAATATATGGGTTGATATATATAATTTATTTTATATAATATACAATTTTGATTATCTTTGAATATGTTTGGAGCCAAACCAATATTATATAAGCTGGTATACATGATAGGATGATATATATAATTTATTTTATATATTATACATTTTTAATTATCTTTGAATATGTTTAGAGCCAAACCAATATTCTATAAGCTGGTATATACATATAATGGGTGTTAAAACCCTGGTTAAAACACCTATCATTTTTTATTGCGAATAATGTCTAACAAAATTATCTCGGAAACTTGTTAAGCTAAAACCATTATATTCTTTTGTGAAGACCAACTTTAAAGGAACTTAAAAACTTAGCTATAATATTTTTATAACCAAATCAGCTGCTAGAAGTGTTTTATTAATGCCTCAATGTTGTCATCGATTGACTATAATATGCCAGACATTTTTTAATTTTTTTTAAATTTTTTTTTGCTAAGAAAAGAAAAGTTAGATTCCCGCTGAATCTTCTAGAACTCTCTTTGGTTTCTATTATTGCGAAACAATAGACGAAAAATTGAGTTCTTGCCGGAAAAAGTTTTCAGCACAAAAATTGCCTGATGTTTTTCGTCGGCTAAGTTTCGGGTGGGGTTGGAAAAGCGGCCTGTGGCTGGGGGATTAGTTATTAAATAGGCGCAAAGATGTGTGCGGATTGGCGATGTCCTTTTGGCTTCCTTCCTTCCGCAATTCCTCGCTTCAATCCCTTTGCACATCTTTCACCTCTTGCGGTCGACGACAAGAAGAATTGCTTACACAGGAAAAAAAAAATGAAACATATATTTCTAATATTTTAGAGGCAATTTCAAATTGAATCCACAAAATTCCAAGTTAATATGTTATGTTAAAAAATGTTAATATTTTTTTAACACATGATCATTACAAAAGAGTAATATCCTTTTGAACTGGGAATATTATAAAATACAATCAATGATTTTTTTATCTGCATACACTTAGGCGCGAGCCCAATAAGCCTCTTGTCTGCATGTGTCTGTGTGTCTGTGTTTGGGTGTAGTTTTGCGCCTGTGTTAGTGCTGGCCGCAGTCGGAAACTGTAAGCAGAAGCAGGCAAGCAGCAAACGGAAACGAAATGCAAGCAAAAAGTAAGCAAGCCTGCAGGCAGCGACTGAGAGGAGCCAGCCAACCTCCATTGATGTCATTTACCTTTCGACTTACACAGACACTAGCGCACACTGACACATAGGCACTCACACACACACACACACAGACATGACGGAGGCAAAATGCATATTACAAAAGTTGTGCTTAAACGCCTAAAAGCAGGCAGCATATTTTTTATTTCGCATTTCTCTCGCACGAGATGAAAAAGGGTGGAATAGGGCGTGCTCTCTGGGTTTTGCCTTTCGGCGCCAAAAAAGCCCCGCATATCGATTTAAATTAATATGATCGATAAAACGATAAAATTTATGCAGGTTTAAAAATAAATTCTTTAAAATAAACTCAAAAATTTTAAAGTATTGGAAATACAAATCTGTTAGCTTTTGATATATGTAGTAAAAAGCTTATTATTTAGGGTGGGTTAGTGTACCTTTATTTTGCTCAAAAAAATATAATAAAAATGTAGGATACCCCACGATCCACCGTTTTCCTTTTGCGAGTTAAGTAAACAATCAAATGGAGAAGATTGATTCGTTTAGCATTTTTCCCCATTCGCAGGATCGCTCAATGCCAACTCATTTATTCCGCCCCATTGATTCATATCCAAGGCGGACTACATCTCCATCCGAACTCATTAATTATCCACTGTGCTCGGCGTCGATGTCGTCGCCTTTGTCGGGTGCATCCTTTAAGTAGGCTATCCCCCGAGTTGCATGGGGCGGGAAAACTGGGGGTTTTCATTCACGTTCACATCCTCGTTCACATCTTCATTTCCATTCCCATTGAAACTCCTCCTCACTCCCCCTCGCACCACACAACTTCATTCATGTCCGCGTGAGTGTTTGTACTTTGCGCTGTGCTGACAGTTAGCACATGTTCTATTTGACGTTCGTTCATCCGTGTTGACATACACACACGCAACACAGTGCACGCCAGGGTGGACCTGTCACCGGTTTCCTCTGATTTTTTGAGATTTTTGAGTTGGCATACAAGTTTTAAATGTCAATCATTATAGTGATTAATATTAATAATTTAATAAAAAGAATTTAAACCTATACTGCTTAAAAGTATGGTATAAGATACAGTCTGGAATTTTAAATAGCTTAATTTTATGGAGTTAGCGTAAGTGCAGGTTAATGAACTTTGTGCTACATTTGAACCATAAAATTATTTTAAAAATCCATAATATAATTTATTTTAAGAATTAAACAAATTTTGTATATATTTTGATAAATCCAAATTTAAATATTTCTATATTAAATATTATACCCAGCTGCTGCATCGTTTATTGCAACCCAGCTAAAGCTCTTTAGCCCAATAAGGTTCACCCTTATTGCACTGCACACACACACGCTCGCACTGCATTTGTATGTATGCCAAAGAGAGAGAAAGAGTGGCCGAAAGAGAGAGCTCAGAAATGAAAATCAAAATCAAACACAAACTCAAGCCAAACTCGCCTTTCTTTGGCTGCTGCGTCTCTGTTACCAACGCGGCGATAACAAGCCAACGAGAGAGCTAAAAAGGATTTGGCGCTTGCCTTTTTGGCCGCGTTTCGTCCGCTTTGTGCCGGCTCTTCTTCTCCTCATTTCTCGATTCTCGGTGCTCGCTTCTTGTGCCTTTTTATTCCTCCACCCGGACGGAATGGACCGGACTGCCGCCTGTTCCGCCGTGTTTATCCGATTTTTAGTTCGCATTTAGACGTCGACGGCAACGGAGACTGAGACTGAGAAGTCGAGAAACTGAGAAACTGCGAAACTGAGCAATCGAGAGACTGAGACTGAGAAACGCTCGAATTCGTGGGTAACACACAAAAAAAAAGAAAGATGCTGTGCCAAGCAACGTTGCGTATACGTAACGTGGCCTGCGCGTGTTCGTGATAATGGGTGTTGCTCTTGTTGTTGTTGCTCGAAACAACAAATCAGAACGATGACGATGATAATGATGATGATGCCGATAATTACGTGACTAACGACGACGCTTATGCTGATGTTCGTACGTCATCAACATGATGCAGGGCGTAACAACAAAACAGCGAGCACATTGCGTATACGTAACGTGCGTTTCGTGTTTGTGTTAATAAATAAAAGCGGCACTTGTAGAACAACAAAAGATTAATTATTTTAATGACAACAACAACTGGCAATTATCGTTGTGCTTCAAGCCTTTGATTGTTTTTAAACAAATGCCGCGAGTGTGTAAGAAAAAAAAAAAAAAAAAAACAAAAGCCCAAATGTGAAACGTATTTTTTTCCTCTACTTTTTGTTGTTGTGTGTGTCAATTATGTGCAAGAATGCAATAGCAATTTCAACACAAGTGTAATTCGCGCCCCACCCCAAATAAAAAAAAAGAAGAAAAATAGGAAAAAATTGCACTCGCGTGCCGGCTTCTGGGGACTGCGACGCCAACTGCGACTGCGACGCCGACTGCGAGCGGCTGAACTGCCGCTGACCACAAATCTAATAAGCCTCGCATTCTTCCCCCAGTTAATTTTAATTGCAACTGATTTATGAACAACAAAATAATTTTTTAGTCGTCTCCTTCTTGCTTCTGTGTCTGCAATATTTTGTTTTGCCATTGCCTTTGCTCTCCTTCGTCGAGTGTGTGGTTTTTCCTTTCCTTCTTTTTTTATTTTTTTGTATTTTAACCCCCTTTTCTGCCCATATATACATTTATATTCCGTAGTCGTCGTCGGGCAGCGAGAAAAAGCTAAAGCCCAAGCATCCGGCAGTTGGAGACTGAAAACTGCTCTTTCGTCCAAGGGTGCAGGCGACGAAAAGGCCGCGGTTCAGATGTTTCGGGAAATGTTCTTGAAAAAAATTATTTATTTGTGGTACTTTGGAGACGAATATTGAAAAATCCTTTCTTTTTGTATACCTCGATCTGTTACCGAATTTCGGATTTTGATTTCAGGCGATGTTTGGTGAAATGTTATCGAAAAAAAGTATTTATTTTTGGTACTTTGTAGAAGAATATTGAAAAATCCTTTCTTTTTTACCTACGATCTGTTACCGAATTTCGGTGTTGGTTTTCTGACAATTTATGGTACTTCGGAGACCATTATTAAAAAATCTTTTCTTAGCCTGCACCTACAATCTGTTACCGAATTTCGGTTTTCCAATTCAGACTTTTAAGTCAATCCATATTCGCCGTACACTGATCCTCTAAAATGTTGACTTATCTCTAAACTCTAGATATTTTTCTAGTTCTTATAAGTCCTGCGAAGTCGATTTCGTCACTTTGGTCGCCTGATCGAATCGGTTGCGTTGCAATTGTCTTTCGCCTTTGGCTGCAGCTTCTGCTCTTGTTGCTTTTGCTTTCGTTGTTGCTGCCGCGCTGCAAGTCGCGCCTTGGCTTTTCTCTCGCGCGCTCTCTCTTTTTCTCTCTTTCGCTGTGGTCCAGTTCGCTCTCTCTCTGTCTCTCCGCCCTCTCGCTGTCTCCCTCTGTCTGCCTGACGTTTCACTTCACCCAACTAAAAAACTCAAAGGAAAAAAAACGGGGGGAAAAAGCTAACGGCAAAATCGCATCGTTGCTGCTGCTTCTGTCGTCATCGTTTTTGCTAATTTCTTATAAGAATTTTCTTGAACAATTTTCTCGCTGCCGTTGTGCTCTTGTCTCGCTTTTTTTGTTTTCTTTTTTTTTAGAAGTCGTTGGCAGCCAGTTGAGATGTTGTTGGTGTTGTGCTGTTGCTGTTGCAATTGTTGTTGTCGTCTGCTTGCAACTTCATCTGCTTCTTCGTACCTTTTTGTTCTTGTTGGCTCTGTGTTCCTCGTCATCGTTTAACGGTGCTCCTAAGTCGCCGTTTCTT